GATGAATGTAATTTCTCAAATCATCGAAGAGAAATTCCCAAAAGCAAACCACACATTATATATGGATGATTTGAGAATAATGACGGAAAGTAGTGAAGAAATGGGAATAATCCACTGTGAAATTAAAGAAATAATAAGTGGAATAGGGATGGAAATGAATGAGAAAAAGTCAGGAATGGTATTAAAAACATTAAGGAAATACCAGATGGAATGCAAAACATCCCAGTCATTGAAGGTGAGGACTTGTATAAATACTTAGGAATATGGCAGTCCGATGAAATAGATGACACCTTCAATTGTAAATCCATCAAAGAAAAAATGAATCAGAAAATGGAAGAAATAAACAGTGATGAAAGTAGTAATAGAAGATATATTACTAGAATAAACACTGAAGTAATCAATATCTTCAGATATTCAGCATCAGTTGTAAATTGGAAAATCACTTAGATAAAATTGATTTGGAGATAAGAAAATATTTAAGAAAGGCAAAATACATTGGTGAAACTCCAAAGATAGGTTGTATGTCCCTCTAGAAGAAATGGGTGAAGGATTAATAAATATAAGGGACGAATATGTTATTGAATTAGTTAGAACAGTGATGTACTACTGTACCAGAGAAAGTGAAATAAGAAATAACATATTAGATAGATGGTACAGTAAGAAATGAATAAGGAATAGAATTAAAAACATTAATTCATAAAATAAATGAAACAAAAATAGAAGAAATAATAAATGAAGGGATAGAAAAGAAAAAAGAAAAAGAAGTAGTAGAAATAAAGAAATTAATGATAAATACATCAAAAAATGGAAATGTCATCAAATAAGTGACATTTTAGAAGATGGTTTGAGTCAAAATGAGTAGATAAAACTACTACAGTGAAAGCATAGAATTTCATCAATATTAAAAAAATGCATTTCTTCAATTAACTAAAATGCAAGATGGAGCAATATTTTGTTTGTATAGAAAATCAAAAATAATGAAAAATGAAAGATTGAAATACTGCCCACTTTGTAAAGACAAGATAGCTACAGTAGAACACATTCTACTATCTTGTATTTATCATAATAAATCACAAAAAGAAAAACATGACAATATTGGCATTATAATATTGATTAATAAGAAAATATACAGGAAATAAACAATATAAAAACCCCCATATGAAACAATATTCCAATATAAAGACATTACAATGATATTGAACAAACAAATAATGCATAAAAGTGAATGACAATACCACAAAATACCAGACATATATGTATTAGATAAAAAGAAGAAAACTGGTCTAATATTTGATATGACTAATGTTGCTGATGACAATATTAATTTAGTGTATTTGAAGAAAAGAAATAAGTACAATGAATTAAAGAATAGAATAAGGAAAATAGAAGATGTCAAAATAAATCAAGTAATAATCTCAATTAATTGATTAATAAATAAAGAAAGCAATAAATTAATTAAAGAATTAAAAATTGAAATTGACATCGAGAAAGAAGTAAAAAACCTTGTAATAAAAAACATGATAGATATCATTGAATATTGCTTCAATAATAATCAAAAATATTCCATAAAATTGCTAGAAAAAGAGTCAATGAATGGGATTAGTTTCCACTGATGCAAGATTAATAGAAATTAATTCTATTGATACTTATTTAAAGTAAAAATGATATTTAACTATATTTTTATTCTTAATTACATTTATTATTCTATTTTTTATTATCAATGCCATGTGCATTTATGAATATTACAAATATCATTATTCATCATTTAAATTCTTCTTATTTTTTATTATATTTTCATGTTTAGTCTTCATACTGAATCTTAACTATCTTTATTTAATATATTCTAATAACATATTTACTTTATCCACATTTTTTTCATTAATTTACTTAAGTATATCCTCCTATTGATTAACACCATTTCACAGTGGTTGAATATAGAAGAGTCTTAAAGAAATTTCATAAGAAATGGATAAAAGTAGTAAAAAGAATAAAAATAGGAATAAAAGAACGATAAATAAGAAAATTAAAAAATAATAAGAATAAAAAGTGAATTTAAACAACAAAACATTAGAAAATTGTATAAAAAATAACTTAATTACAAATAACATGTATATTTTGACTTTTCTTTAAAACACCGAAGTGAGCTTCATCCACATAAATATAATCAAACTTTTAATTTTTAATTATTGGTAAATGACTGAAAATGAAAGTAAAATGACAAAAGAACCTAATACAAAACCAGAACAGCCTATAAAGGAAAAACATAATACCAATAGAAAACGCAGGTCAAGTTCTTCAAGTACACCAAGAAATACTTTAACTCTAAGTTTATCAAAACGGTTTTCAGGAATAAAGTTAGGTTCATTAAAAGAAGGATTAATTGTTCCAGAGCAATTTAGTGCATTAGAACCTATCCATATCAAAGTTATCAACCAAATTACTGACTGTGATACATATGAGAAGCTTGAGAAAGTTTTATCAACATACACTATTCAATTCTTTGAAAAAACACTAGAGAATAAAGTAATTTGTCCACGAATGTTAATTTGGAAATTAGAAGAAACTCATAGAATAGTATTAGAAGTAATTTGTCGATTATTAAAAAATAAAAAAGACAAAAATGAAATATTAACATCTATTTTGTCTGAAAGTCAACCACATAATACTAAAGTTCTCCAACAATTTGTTGATGATATATTCTCAAATGAAAGTTTATTTGAAAAAGAAGGAGATCCTTCTTTTAATGATGATGGAGAAATTGTAACCATTTCTAAAGAGTGTCTTAAAGAATTATTGTTTAAACCAGAAGGTAGTAAAAAGCTTGACGAATTATTCTCCTACACTCAACAAAATTATTTTACAGAAAATGACTTAATAAATCTTCTTGAACAAAAAATGTATGAAATAAATACAAACACTGACTCTTGTTCATCTTATACTAATGAACAAATTTCAAAGTCATTAGTAATTCTTTGTGAAATTAATTCATTTGATTCTAATACACTCAGTCAAATAAGAAAGATACGAATGAGTCATAAAAAAGAAACTTTCAGCAGTTTTAGAATTGCAATAAATCAAAGTACTGATGAAGGTGTTAAAATAACATCAAAACGTGCACCAAAAAGAATTCCTATAAAAAGATATAACTCTGCTTCAAAAATTGATCTTTGTCCTTATACAAAATTAACAGAATCACAAATTCTTTCAACTGAAGACAAAAAATCTCCAAAAGAATTTGAACTTTTATCTCTTTCTAAAATAACTACAGAAAGTTCTAAAGATTTGACTATTTCTTTATCGAATGATTCATACAAAGTTGAAGAAGGAAATGTAAATGACAATATATTGGGAATAAACCCAAAAATTTTTGCAGAACAATTAATGGTTTATGATATCAATTTATTTGGGAACATTCCTCTTAAAGAAATAATACTCATTGATAAATCACCATTTATCATTTATGGTACTTCTAAGTTAACTCAAATAGAAAATTTAGTTATCAAACATTCTAATACAAGAAATGGTATTGATTATTTTATAACAGTTGCGTATAAATGTTTCAAATTAGGAGACTTTAATATGGCTTTTATTATTTACTCTTGTATCATTAGAGCATCTTATAAACATTCTGATGAATTTGAAGTTTGTTGATTATTATTATTTAAAATAAAGTAATTAATATTGTAGAATAAAAAGAATGGAAAGTACTTTAATAAACTAGCACATGTTTTTTCAATTAATCAGAATCATCGTAACTATAGAGAAGAATTTAATAAGAGAAACACCAATGAAAGAATACCTGTTATTTGTTTGTTTTATTGTCTCTCTTTCTTTATGACATAAACTTATATTAATTAGCAACATGGATCCATGACTTCTTAAGTGAAAAAGAAAAAGGGTTTATTGTTGATAACTTACTAAGTGTCTATAGAATGAAGTCATATGTAGACTGTGTTAAGGGTATTTTGTTTATTCATAAAATAACTTTAAAACTTCAAAGAATTGATTCAATACAAAAGTATTTAACTGAATTTAAACAATGATATAACTCTTTTCTTTATTATTCTTTTGTATCAAAAATATACCACTTATAAACAAAAAATAAAGATATGAAAAAACCAATAAATAACATGATAAATTTAATAAAAAAATATTGTCCTTACAATAAAGTCATGTCTAAGACTAAATTTTATTCAACAATTCAATATTTTTTTTTCTAGAAGAATTTCCTAAATTCAATCATTCTCAAAATTATTCCCATCTGGAGCTTCGGGATGTGCATTTTTTTTTGAAAAAAAACATACCAATATTAATAGAGGCATGTGTTGTTTCTTCAAAGAATTTTCAACTAACTGTACTAATCTCAGATTTTTGTTGTATTAATCAACCATTTAAACACAAGTGATAAAGTTAATCATTTTCAAATACATTTCTTTTGTTTATTTTTTCTTTATGTTATAGACTCTTTCTATTTTTAAATCTAATCTAATTCTCTACAACAATAACCAAATTCATAACACTAAACTTTCTTTTTTTTCTATGTTTCTATATATGTTTTTTTTAAAAAACAAGTCTCTTTCTCTTAACTTTCTTTTGTCAACATTGTAAATTTAACTTTCTTTATTCACTTTGGTTACAAACGTCACAAAATTTTAATTTTCTATCAAAAACTTTGCATTATATTGATAGTGGTTATGACACTTCATTTTCTAATCAACTCAAGAATCTTTAATAAAATAATTGGAACTGTAACGTTCAGGAAATACATAGATATGGTGTTGTTACTTCAACCAAGAATTGTCAAAAAAAATTATTGTTAAAAAACCTCACCATATTACAGTAGTTCTGAACAATAATCAGAGTATCAAGAAGATAAATTTTGGTTGTAAAAAATTAGAATAAAACATAGACTTTATTGTTTTTTGGAAAAAAAATACTTCAGTGACATTATGATAACAAAGATGAAGATTACTTTAAAAACAATGAGTAGAATTAAAGAATTATTTTGTGAATGATTGTAAAAGTTTCTTCTCGACATGATATGAGAATTGACTGTTTGAAGGGATTAGAGGAATAATTTGATGAGCCATTTCTTCTTTTGTCTTTTCTGGAAGAGCATCAAGGAATGCTTGAATGACAAAATTTCCATATTGATCTTCAACTAATGCATCAAGAGATTCAGGTTGTGATAATATATCAAGTAATGGTTGTCTTTCATTTTCTGTTGAACATTTCAAACACTTTTCAACTACATTTGAACTAAACTTTTGTTTAGAATAAAATACAACATCATCTTTAATTTTTTGAATAATGTCTGAAATAATTGTTGGGTCATTTTCCATCAAATGTTGAATAACAAAATTACCATATTGGTCTTGTATTAAATCACAACAGTTTGAAAGAAGTTGTGGTTTAATTAAATTAATTTGTTGAATTGTTGAATTGTCAATGGCATGTGTAAGTACAGAACACCCAATCTTAGTTTTGGAAATACGTACAACACAATCTTTTAATCCTCCATAAAAGAAATTAGAATTTTTTTCATTGAAAATTTTTAATAAAGTTTGAATAACATAATTAGCATGAGGGTCAATGACTAATATTGAAATATTATTTCTTAATATTGGAGACCATATTTGAATATGTCTTTCTCTCATAAATGGTGCAATTTTTTGAACTGTATATCCTCCAAACTGATGGCAACAATACTTTACTAAATTATCAGCAACAACACCAAACACATTATCTTTTATTTCTTCACTTCCAAATTCTACAATCTTTGGTAAAACATACTGTCCATTTGGATGAGTTATAAGTTCTTCTAAATAATCTTCAAGTTCTTCAAAAATAAGAAGAACACTCTCTTCACTTGCACCATCCAATAGTTTTTGTAATAATGAACATCCTGAGGCATATTTAGTCATTTGATAAAATTGTCCTTGAAACTCTGAAACAATAATCTTTTGTTCTGCTTTCTTATTAGGATTAATATTAGTTGTTAATTTAATAGATGGTAATGAAAATGACTTTGCTATTTTCTCAAGTTCTTGTGGTGTTGGCTTGATGATCTTTCTTTTCCTTTCTGTTTGTTCTATTCTTGTTTTATTTTTGCTCACGTTATTGTTGACATCAATTTGAATAGGTCTTGATTTGAACTTTCTAACAATACTTTCAATAGAACTAAGTTGAGACAAAACCATTTGAGACTCTGTTGTTGCTGGTGATTTTAATAACAATTTTCGTGCTTGAATAGTGTTATCTTGATACATTTTGAGTATCTTCTGATATGTTCTCAATGCTACTTCCATTTCTTCAAATCTTTTCTGATGAACATTATCTTCAAACGATTTTACAAAATCTATATGTTACTTCTTTTTTATCAATAAACATTTGTAATATAATAATATATAAACAAACCACGAGAATACACACAATTCATACTTTGTTTTAATACTACTTCTTTCTTCTCTTTCATTTTCTTAAGTATTTAATTATGATTCACAAATTATCATGAAAAGAAAATAATCGTTTCATCTCATAATCAATAAAACTCCTTATTATTTTTGATTGATAACTCTAATACCCAAAAAAACTTAATGAAAGAATGTAATAATTTTACTAAAACTTCTAAGTCTATTTAATTTCAAATAACTCCTCTTTTTAGTTGTTTATGTCTTTTTATATTTTGTTTGAAAAATTATCAGTTTTTTTACTCTAATTTTTTTAATAATACAACATTAATATTACTACATCATCTGTATAAACATATATAATCTAATAATGTATCATTAAAATGAGAGTCATTACTTATTCTTAATCAACAAAAATTTAATTAACTTCAAATAATTATAGTTATTTTTAAAGCTTCTAGTAAAATTTATTCAAAAATAAGTTTTTTATATAAGAAACATAAATGCATATTTAACTGCTTTCTATTTTTTTCATTTAGAAGTAAAATAATCAACTAAATACTAATTCAATGAAATTAATTTAAAAATCAGTTTCTTTAATTTGTTATTTAATTAGCATTTCAATGAAACTGAATAACTTATTTAGAACAATATTTGCTATTCATTAATTTTATGACTATGACAAATTTATTACTTTAGAATTAAACATTTATAAAAACTAAAAATAGATTAACTTCCAGTTAATCTATTTTTAGTCTTACTTACGATTATCAATTAAAAATAAATACTGAATTATAATATATAAGAAGATCGAGACAAAATAACATTACCAAATGATCTTATCTTTGAATTAATTCTCATTGAATAATACATAATTCTCTTTCTACTGCATTATAAAAAAATATTTCTTCCTCTTATTAATATTTTATATCATGTAAGTTAATTATAATTCATAAACAATGGTTCTATTAAAACAAATTATTATTATTATTATTATAAATTGAACAAATTAATATTAATACAGTGGAAGTATTTTACATTAAGAAAAGACTCATAATAACAATAAACTTACCTTTCTTTATAAAATAACAAAGAAGTAAAAAATTATTTTGTTATATAATACAACAAAACCTAAAAATAAAAAATAAAAAAATCATTTGATTAATGTCAAAGCCACGACCCCCAAAGTCAGTAAGAATAAAACAACAGTTTGTTGCTGTAGCAAAACTTAAATTACTTGTTAAACATCCAGAATTAGTTGAGTTTCATGATTCAAATTCAAAAGAACCTGAACTTCTTCTTGAGTTAAAGTCATTAAAAAACACAGTACCAATACCACAGCATTGGTGCCAAAAGAAAAGATATCTTAATGGAAGAAAAGAACGTGAGCCATATCGATTACCTGATTTTATTGAAGCTACAGGTGTTAGTCAATTAAGACAGGCATATCTTGAACGAGAAGAAGAGATGAAATTAAAACAAAAAATGAGAGAAAAAATTCGACCAAAGAATGTAGGATGTATTGATTATCAAATTTTATATGATGCTTTTTTTAAGAACCAAAAGAAAGGTTCTATGACAGTATTTGGTGATATATATTATGATGGTAAAGATGAGAATCAATATTATGGTACACCATTTAAATTATCATCAAAACTAAGAGTTTGTATATAATTTAATCATACTTAAAACAAAGAAATACTAATTAATTTTATAGAGTGCATTAGGAATATCAGACAATGACACACCTCCATGGGCAGAAGCCATTAGAAAATATGGACCACCACCTTCGTATAGAGAAATAATACCACTTTTATATCAAAACAAAACACAGATACAATAATAGGATATTTCTTTTGAATATTGTTTGAATTTTTTTCCTTCTCCATTAAAATTCTTTTTCCAAAAACCTTGAAAATTCAAAGAACTACAAATAAAACAGTGATTCTTCATTTCCCATGATCTTCTTATTACTACCACTTTTAGTATTTTCACAAGAATGTGTTCTCAGAGATATAAACTACTCAAAATTAACTAAACCAAAAAATGATCCATATCTTCTCTCTTATCCAGCTTATACTTTCCATTTTAATATTTGTGGACCTGTAGATGATAATGGTAATGTTGCAGTCGCTATTGCTGATGATGTTACTTATTCACTTGGTAAATATTCAACTCAAGAACCATTTACTGATAATAATGGTAATGGTTTTAAATATGCTGGAGGATCTAAAAGCAGATCCGGCAATTTATGGAGTTCATCTATTTATATAAAGTGCGACAATACAGTAACAAAAGATATTATTCAAGTTTCAACTGCTGATTTTGATAAAGCCACTGTCAGCTTTGAAATTAGAGGACCTTCTGCTTGTGTTGTTGAAGAAAGCAAAAAATCTCTTTCACCAGTTGCAATTATTTTTATTATTATTGCTGTAATTGTCTGTGTTATTCTTATTGTGTTTGGTTCTTGGTGTCTTGTTAACTTTTTTATTGGAAAAAGAGGAATTGCTGTTCTTCCATTATATAGCATTTTCCATAAACAACAAGATGCATTTGCCACTGAAAAAGCTAATTTAATTTAATTTCCTTTTGATCACAATTAATAATTATTTTTTTGAATTAAAACATTAAATACACTTAATAATCCTTTTTTGTTTTTTATTTAATAACAAATAATAACTTCATTTTTAAGACTTATCACAAAGAAGAATCTTCTTATATAATAAATAACTAAAATTTATCGTTTTGTCTTGGTTATATTTGATAAGATATAAAATTCAATGACTAAATGTTTTTTTTGAAACAAATTCCAAATCATTCAATCTCATGAAATAATTTCATAAAATAAAAAATCTTTTTTTTTTATTTTATAATTTTTTAATAACAAAAAATAACCCTAAAATTTTGAGTTATTGTATTTTTTAAGTTCTTGTTTATTAATTATTGATTTCATATGACTGTATTACCTGAGAAGATATTTAGTTTGTTTGATTTAAAAAACATTAATGTAAAAATGAATGTACTTTAAAGAACAAAACAAATAAACCAATAGAACGACATGAAGAAAAAGCTCAAATGTATTGGGATAAATTTTATTTAAAACGAAGAGGGTTTGTTGCTTCTTCAAAAGAAAGAAATTGGATGTGTAGAGAATTTAAAGAAATTGTGTATGATCCAAGAGATGATATTGATGTATTTGAAATTGGGTGTGGTGTTGGTAATTCTATGGTACCATTATTACGTGTTAATCCATCATTAAAGTTTTATGCATGTGATATTGCACCAAAAGCTGTTGATGCTGTAAATGCAGATGAATATCTAAAAGGATATTTAACAGCATTTGTACAAGACATCACTCAACCTATTCCAACAAGTATAATGACAGATTATTCTGTTGATTACATTCTCCTTGTCTTTGTTCTTTCTACTATTTCACCATCAATGTTTAATCAAACATTAAAAAATCTTGACAGAGTTTTACGACCAGGTGGAGTGTTCTTTTTTAGAGATTATGGAGAAGGTGATATGAAACAAGATATTTTTGAGAAACGAGGAAATAAACTTTCAGAAAGATTTTATTTAAGACAAGATGGAACAAGAATTTATTTCTTTAGTGAAGAAGAAACTTCAAATTTTTGTAAAATGCTTGGATATGAGTCAATGGAACAAAAAATGGTTTGTAACACAAACATTAATCATAAAAAAAATCTAACTATGGTAAGAAAATATATTCAAGCCAAGTGGAGAAAACCATTAAATTAAAGAATCAAATAATCAAATTTTATTACAAAATTTGTAACTACTAATTTATTGATGATAATAAACTTTCTTTTATTTAGATACACAAATACAAACTATTCCTAATAAAAGAATAATAGTAGCACCTCCAAAATATATGAAATTTTTCCATCCTCTAATCTCTTTGAAAACTACTATTCCCCAAAGAGCAGAAAGAAGACCAGGTCCTGCACAAATTAAAGGATATGAAACAACATATGGAAGATTTGAATTTGCAATAAACCAACATACTTGAGCAATTCCCCACATTGCTCCACTAATAATTCCTGGTAATATTGTTTGTTTAAAGATAAATGGTTTATTACGAAAAATAATAATATATATAATGAAATATAATGTTGATGCTAAAAAAATACCTACAAAATGACTAAAAACATAATCAACACCATTAGGAGAAGAAAGTCTATTGTCTTGTAAGTATTTTGATGGGTTAAAAGCTGACCCAAAAAGAATTCCTGCAATTAAAGAACAAATAACTCCAACAACCATTTGTAAATATTTTGGCATTGACTTTAATAAAAGGGATATTGGAGACTCTTTTTCTTTTATTTTCTTATTGTTATATCCTTCTTTATTTTCTGATTCAATAAAATTTTCATCTTCAATAATGATTTGAGTCGTTGAATCTTCATTGATTTCTTCATCATCAGAAACTAATGTCTCATTTAGCTCATAACTATTTTGACTTGTTGTTTTTTCCTCTGTTTTATGTTCAAGTTTAGGTGATGTTTTAATTAATGCATATCCAGGAACAGAGCATCCAACCAATATCGCACCAATACAGTTTAACCAGAATATTTTGATATTTTCTTTGTCTGAATTTAATCCAAACCATCCAAATGTTCCTGTTAACCATCCCATAACCATATTAGCCACTCCCCAAATTCCAGGTCCAAGAGAAAGACCAATTAGTTGAATAATTGGTATACAAAATAAATTGCCTGTACACCAAATCAACCCTCCTAACATTGCAAAAGGTTCAAATATCACTGGTCCATCATTTAAAACACCATTGAACAACATAGTAAATATCCCAACAAGAAGAATACCAACACACATTACCCATTGAAAAAAGATGCCATCACTTGTCGGAAATTTTTTTGTAACAGTAAAATTACTACCAAAGAAGAGAACGGCAATAATCACACAAATATATCCAAGTACAACATTTTTATCATCAGTCATAATTGATAACAAAGAGAAATGAAATAAAAAAGTGAAAGAAATGTTTTTTTTTAATAAGATAAAAAATTGTATATTTATAAATAAACTAAAAATAAGAACATAAACCATTCAATTATTTTTCAGCCCATTTGAGTGCAAGGGATGAAATGCCTGGAACAGCAAAGAATTCTTCTGAACTAGCTTTAATAAGAGCCATTAACCAATTGAAGATCCAAATAATGAACCAGATAAAACCAATAATTGCACAAATAATACTAAAGATAGTGGAAACTACACTTCCAGCTGCACCGGCAATAGCACCAGCAATAACTATAACAACCCACATAATACAATATATAATTCCCCAAATAATGGCATTTGCAGCATGTGCTTTACAATATATGTTAGTTTTTTCTAATACAAAAACAATAATTCCTCCAATAAGACAGAAGAATTCAGCAAGAAAAGCCTCTACAATAACAGGTAATCCACAAGATGTAGTTCCAGTTTCTGACATAACTGAAGTTTTAAAGATGAAACTTGTTTTTATACAAGAGAATCTATTAATAGTACCCCCATTGCATAATTTTTATAATTTTTTATTAAAACAAATTTAACTGAGATAATTTTATCTGACTTTCTTCTCTGTTTTATGTTTGTTATTTATTCCTTTTATAGAAATTTTCCTTTCATTGTAAAACCAAATAGAGAGACATTCTTTGTTGTTTAGAGACAGTGGTTGATTAAAAAAGAAAGAATAAATTAATTTTGATATTCAGAAGTAAAAAATCCACCCCACTCTACTATACATTTCCCAGTTGGACGAATGCGTGGTGTTACTTCATTAATTTGTTTTATTGTTTTTGATTGAATAACCTGAGCAAGTTGAGAAGAATTCAATTGCTCTATTGCAACAATAACACGATGATATTGTTCAAAGCCATCTACATGAAGTGGGACAAATTGGTTTAATGATTCAGGAGAAATGATGGTTAACAAAGTAAATGGTTTTTCTTCCATTTGTAAAGTCCAAGTAGTGATCATATCATTTTCTTCAACAATACTTAATCCCATTTTTTCCATTAATACAGTGAATTGTTGTAAATATGATTTACGAGTTAAAATAAATGTTTCTCCTTCAAAATGAACTGATGGGTCAAGACGGTTACTGTTATAAAATAAATACAAATAATTTTTGCCATTTATTTCAATTTTACCCCTTCCTGTTTTATCAGTAAAATACATTCCTTTCCAGATTATTTCATTTTTACTCTTCTCTGGTTGAGGATAAAAAGGTCCTTGAGCAATACCATGAGATACTTTTATTTTAGCAGTGAAAGATGAAGTAATATTTGGTTGATCATAGAAGAGAATCCAAGACATTTTAACTTTAAAACTAATTAAGAGTTCTTTTAATTTTTTCAAGTACCTTAATATCATCAAAGTAAGAACTTAAGACTTATTCAATTAATAACCGACGAATAAAGAATTTTTCTGATTTTTGATTAGTGTTAGTTTGTATAAATTTTGAAAAATTGATTAAATATGTTGATTTCCAAATATTAAGCGTATATGTCTTTTTTTTCTTATTCTCTAAATACTTTTGAAACTCTTCTTCTATTTTTGTTGATTCTTTTTGTCTAAATTGAACCCATTTATCTTCATAATACCACCAATGAACTTGACTACTTTTATCTGATTCATTAGCTTCATGACATGGTAATTCTTCAAGTATATCTTCATTGGTTTTAATAGAACTAGAACTTGATGAATATGATTTAAATCCTATTGAAGGTTTGCTAAGTTTCTTTGAGTTATTTAATTTTTTATCATCATTATTACTTTTAGGCTTCTTTTCTTCTTCATTCTCTTCATTCTCTTTATTCTCTTTTACTATTTCTATTTCTTCACTTTCTTTTACTTCTTCTATTTTTTGTCTTTCTATTTTTAAAGATGATTTTTTGGTAATTTTCTTTTTTTGAGATTTTCGTTTTTGGTTTTCATTTTCATTTTCTAATTTTTCAACTTCTTTTGTTGAGTTAGTATTATGAGGTTTTTTCTTAATCTCGTAATCACTTTCACGAAATCTTATTAAAGGTTTTCCTTTACAGGCTCTCATAGGTTGTGTTCTTTTTCCACTTTCTCTAAATCTTTTTCTTTGTTCATGTCTTATTCTTTTCATTTCTTTTTTCATATCAATAATGACAGTTTCCTCTTTATCTTCAGCCATCGTTGTATCATTTTTTTGTTGATCAAGGATTGTTGTTTCGTCTTTTTTTTCAATAAGAGTTGGTTCATCAATAATACCAGAACCGTTCATTTTGGTTTGTTTTCAAACCCATCTTTTTATTTCAAAAAATTTAAAAAAAACAAACTATTTTATTATTAAAAATTATATTTCTATTATAATAATATTATAATAAAACTGATAAAAATTTTAACTAACAATTTAGTGTAATGTTTTCTCGAAGTGAAAAGAAAGAAGATAATTCTAAAAGGTTTAATGAAAAGAAAATGCAGTTTGTATGTCTAAGTTTATTTATGTTATTACATAAAATGGGTTTTTATTTTTTAGTTCATTAGCTGTTATTCTAGAAACACCACAAAAAGATTTAAAAGTTCATTTAAATGCAATGAGAGATGTAGTTGAAATGTTAGTTTGGGGAGACAAACATAATACTGGGATTATTGATTCATTTCTCGAAGACAATTCATTTTCAACAATTATTGAAATTGTTAAAAAAGGAAAGAAACCAGCATTACTTCAATTTTTACAATGTTTTGCAATTTTAGTTGAAAACATTAAATCTACTAATTTTCTTTGTTTGTTAATAAAGACTTAAGAATAACACAATTTCTCTTATTTATTCAAATATTTACTTTCATAGATTTCTTATTAAGTCAAAATACAATTGAAACAATATTGTCATTCCCTATTGATCGTAATGATGAAGATTTAATTTCTCCTTATATCTCTATGCTTAAATCTATTTCATTAAGACTTACTGATGATACTTTACAATTCTTTTATAATCATCAAAAAAATACATGTCCAATATTAAGTGAAGCAGTTTCTTTATTAAATCATAAAGACTCTATGATTGTTTCACATTCAAGAAATATTATTCTTCAATTTGCTGCATTTACAAATGATAAAGCTTTTAATGATTATTATATGTCATATTCACAAAAACATTTTTATCCACATCTTGCTTCATTAATACTACCTCATATTCATTCACTTCCACAATCACTACAATTATTAATTGATGATATATATTTCATTTCTGATCTTTTAACTCTTCCTCATCCATATCCAACAATGTTAACATCTTCATTATTTGATAATTTAATTTATCCTCATATTCTTCCTTCATTTATTTCTGCTTCAGCAACTACTCCAAAAAAAATTGATTCATTACAATTTCTTATTCATTTATACGAGTCTAAATTCCCAATACCTTTCTTATCATTAATTTCACATTGTTTATTAATTCCTCTTCTTCCACAAGGTCAATATAATAAACTTTGTGATTATATCGTTAAAATGGTTCAACAACAAAATGGAATGGAATTTCATTGTCTTATTACTTTATTACTTCAAATAATTCAAACTCCACCTGTTTCATTATTAAGTCGTTCATTTCTTTCAAATCCATCACAATTATCAGCACCTGCAGCTTTATTATCAATTCTTGAAGATGAAAATTCTGATGATGATCCATTATTTGGAGAAGAAAGTCCTAAGTTAAATGTTATGGTAGATATTACTATGTGTTTTCCATGGTTATCAATGAAATCTGATACTAAATGTTTTGAAACATGTTCACGTATAATGGGAGATAAACAATCATTTAATAGTGAAGGAAGTGTTTATGAATTCTTAAAAAATACAAGTAAAATGAATAGACTGAAAGTAATCAATTCATTAGTTGAATTTTGTATTAATGATGCACAACAATGTTTACCATTATGGACATATTCAAGAGCAATGAAAATTATTAAACATATTGGGTGGTGGGGAAATGGTAAATTAGATGATGGACTAAATGAACTAAAACAAAAAGTTATTGAAAGTTATAATAAAAGTGAAAATGTTATTTCTAAGTTATATCCAAGACTAAAACTTGATCAATTTGAATTATTATGGAATAATATTACTACTTCATTAGAAGATATTAGCATTGAATATGAGTTTGGTGATGATATTGATAAATGGAAAAATCAACAACACATTTTTATTGAAAAGAATTTTAGTAAAAAACAAAAAGCATTAGAAATCTATTATATTATTGCTTCTTGTGTCATTAAACGTAAATTATATTTACTTTTTACTAAAGGAGAAATTACTAAAATTGATTCTATTTATTGGGAAATTAAAAATGAACAACAACCACACGAGTCTACTGAAACTTCATCCAACCAACAAGAAAATCAAGTAGAAGATATAAAAGATGATGACAACATGAAAATAAAAGAATCTAAAGAAATCTTAAAATAAATAAACCAAAAATCAAATTAATTTTGTCTTAAGAAACAAAATAAAAGTTTTATGTTTATTTAAAAAAAAATAGAATTATTAAAATAAAAATTTTAAGAAAAATGATGTGGTGACAAAAAATGATGACGTGGAAAATAGAACTTGAAATAAAGAAACTAATTGGTTATCTTCCAACGAGTTAAATAAAATTTGAATATGACAAGTATATTTTTATATTATGCTAATATTTGTGGTTTGATTAATTTTTATTTATGTTGTTCTTTTAAAACAATAATATAAATCATAAATAGACTATGTTAGAATTGGTGTTTTAATGATTGCTGTTTTCTTTGTGCTTAAAGCCCCAATTACATTTATTATATGTTATATTATTTCAGCTTTATGTGATGCTGTTGATGGTAATTTAGCTAGAGCATTTAATCAATGTTCTAGACTTGGAGCAGTATTAGATATGATTACTGATAGAGCAGGAACAACAATATTAATTACTGCATTAGCTGTATTATATCCAACATATGCCCCAATTTGTTGTTTAATTACATTTATTGATATTTGTTCACATTGGACTCATATGTATACTTCATTAATTAAAGGAGGTGAAAGTCATAAAATTTGTTCTAACCCAATTTTACATTGGTATTATACTCGTTCTGTGTTATTTACTCTTTGTCTTTGTAATGAAGCTACTTTTGTCATGTGGTATATTAGATTTTTCGCTCAAACTAATGAATATAAATGGATTATTGAAGGTACTCCATTCTTATGGTATCTTCTTAATACATTATTAATAATCTCAACCCCACTGTGCATCTTAAAGAATTTAATTAATATCGTTCAATGGTATGAAGCTGCTAAAGATCTTGTTGATTGGGAGGTTCAACAAAATAAATCAAATTAATATTTTAAATTTTATTTTTTTTTTACTATTTTAGAGAAGAGATAGAAGGTGGCACGTCTGAAACACCACACATAAACCCTAGTACAAATTCATTCTTCGACTCTCCCAGTTATTATCTGGTTATGACGGTGCCTTTGAATTAGGAATGTATTAGGGAATGCTGCAAAGGGTGCAGCAAGAGAATACAGTAGAATATTACATGATGCAATATAAGAACCTACTGAAGTGTGGGTATGACTAAAAGAAGATTAGTCAAAGTAAGACTAAAAAGAAGATTAGTCAAAGTAATATAGTAGTAATAAAATGATTCCTTCTCCCATTCATAAAATAAGAAAAATGAAATTCCTGAAAATTAAGGCAGAAAACAAACAAAGGCTTAAAAAGAAGAAATAAGCAGAAGAAGTTTGAAAAACCTTAATAGGAAGAAATAAAGCAAAGAAGTGCTTTCCTCAATTTGCAAGAAAAACATAAATGATAAGTTAAAGAAAAAGATTACTCTTTTTTAATAAGCTCAGGGATGGGATTAGTCTCCCCTGAGCTAGGAAGAATAGATGAAAAATCTATTAATACTTAATTAATTACTTTTTATTTTTACTATTTTAGAGAATAAACTTGACAATGACATTTATAACTTACCTTTAAAATAACTTTTTTATTTTATATTTTTTGACTAATGAAAGATATGATAATTAACTACATTTCATGTCTTTAATATTCTGAATAATCAAATTCAAGAAATTTTTAAGTTTTTGTTATTAATTTAGAAATTTACTTTTTTTTATCATTTTTTAATTGAATGTAAGATTAATGTTTAATTGAGTTTTATATTTTTTTTTATTGAATTGTATTAAGAATGAGTTAAGTTCATTTTATTTCTTTAATTATTAAAAATTAGTTATTTTGATGATTTGTAAATGTACTAAATTTTATTATATTTGATTAATGATATTTCATAGAATAGTTGGGCAACGAAAAAAAAGCAAATAATTGAAAAAGAAGAGAAAGAAAGATATAAAAGAAATAAATAAAAAGTAATTAATTAAGTATTAATAGATTTTTCATATATTCTTCCTAGTTTAGCCGAGACTAATCCCATCCCTGAGCTTATTAAAAAAGAGTAATCTTTTTCTTTAACTTATCATTTATGTTTTTCTTGCAAATTGAGAAAATCACTTCTTTGTTTTATTTTTTCTTATTAATGTCTTCTCATCCTTCTTCTGCTTAATTCTTCTTTTTAACCTTTTGTTTATTTTCTGTCTTAATTTTAAACATTTTCTTTTTCCTTTTTTCTTAATTTTATGAATGAGAGAAGAGACTATTTCATTCACACTATATTACTATGTTTAATTTTCTTTTAGTCTTACCCACACTTTAGTATATCCTTTCCCTTGGTTAATACATCCATATATATTTTATAATTTCTTTTATTAATACATACCAATTCATATAATACAGTAAGTAATATTCAACCATAATAAATTGTTACATCTTTTTCAATGTTAACAAATCAATTTCTAATTCAAACACACCATCGTAACTATATAATAACTTGGAAAGTCAAAACATGAATTATATTAAAGTTTGTTTATGGTGTTGATACAAAAAGAATAAAGAAAGAGAAACAATACATACAAAATGTTCATAAATAATACAAATTAATTATTATTTAATCATATTTAAGTAAATTCTATTAACATTTATTAATTAACTACTTTTTATTTATTTTCTATTTAAATATTTTTATTCATTTTATTTAAATTTAAATTTATTGAATTATAATTATATCTTTTTATAATATTTTTCTATGGTACAATTTGACAATAGTGTGATACATCATATATACACAGTGGGAAAATCTGGTCCTTTTGGGATAAATAACATTTTTATTACTATTGTTTTATATAACATTTTTATTTTTTTATTATTGTTTTTAAAATACCATTTTTCTATAAATAGATTTGTATTTTTATTTTTAGAATAGATACAGATATTTTTAGAACAGATACAGATATTTTGAGGTATTCCATTTAAAATGAACGATTGTTGGATATTTTTGAACTATTCTTAGATATTTTCTTATTTTGAAGTATTATATCTTCGTTATTTTCATAATTTCCTTATTATAGATATTTTTGAAGTAATAAAAAGATATTTTATAACTCTTACACTTTTTGAATATTCTATTTTTCTTACACTTTTTTATAAATTTTTCCACTTTATGTAACTTTATTATTTTATTTTTGAAAAATAAAAACAAAAAGAATATAAAAATAATACATTTTATGTAATTCTTCATTCAGAAGATATAATAAAAATAAAACAAAATTATTTTATTTATTATTTTTTTACTATTTTATAATTAAAATATTTTTATTGGCATGATGAATGTCCTTTTGGAATGTTTGATGTCCTATTCTGGTTATATTTAAAGGTGGATTCTCCAGAGATAGTTCATACGATTTATGAGTACGATAAGAGGAGCCTGTTATGAGGCTCTCAGTGACAGATTTAAATTATTGTTCTTGATAATAGACGATAGTGAATGTGATTATATGACAAACATGATTCATTACTATTCCGATAATTATAATTTTGAGAATTTATTCGGTAATTATGAATTTTATCATAATTGTTCCGAAATGCAATATGATGTCATCGAAGTTTTAAAATCGGAACTCGTTTACATATTAGCAATCATCGATAAAACGAAGCGCATCGGCGTTAAGTTCTTGAGACAGGAAGTAATTGATCGCCTCCTGTTCTATATTGATGATTGGTGCCTCCGTGATGGCATCTATGATGCTTATGATGTGGCCATGGATCTCTTCGAGCTAGGAGAAGAGAAGCCTTAATTTAATTAATTACTTTTTGTAATTTATTGATTTAATTTTTTAAAAAAGAAAAATAAAATATCCATTCAGATTTAATGTCCTATAGACAAAACAAAAATAATATTTTTAATATTAAAAGAAAAGAGCAGGAACGTCGTCGACAAAGAAGACGACAACAACTGCTCAATGATCATCGAGCCATAGAGGATGGCATTACTCTCGATGATCATCGTCGTCGACCTCAAAGACGACGAATTACCATGAGTAAAAAGGATTATGAAAAGATGGAAAAAACAACAACCGTCTTTTCTAATCCTTTAGGGTCGAGACATCATGGCGAGTTAGAAAAAACATCAACTAATTCCCATGATGTAGCTTTCTCTGAGGGACATAGGGAGCTAGAAAAAACAACAACTAGTTCTCATGACTCTTATGGTTTTGAAACGATTGGGGATCGTGTTAGAAATCGTAGAGAAAGCGGGAGAAAAACACAATCCCCACAAAACGTCCCACCTATACCCCCCATGGATCCCCCTGTAAGCCCCTCTAGGAGTACCCCTATGAGTCTCCCTGAAGAAACCCCCTTTAATTCCCCACCTATTGTTCCACCTATTGAACCACCTAATGATGCCCAAATGATGGAGGAGCCCTTAACTGATGGTGAGGTTGCTGCTCTACTAGAGG